ACTGTACATGCCGGTAGAGGAAAACAACCGAACTGGTATGACGGCGCTTGGAATATATTCATATTCAATGACGTCAGAGACATTTATTGATGCATTACTGTAGTAATAACTACAAGTATGCTTATTAACTGTGAAGTGATGTCGAGATATTGAAATATTAATATATTCAAAACAACAGGCAATTAAAATATTTAAAATGTGATATTACGTAAGCGTTGTCATGGTTATAATAGTAGAAGCTGTTGGTATTAGATCCGCAGTTCACATATTTATACGCATCGTGCAAGAATAAAGATGAATTATTAATATCAAGACGTTTTTGCTGACAAGTATTTTTGATATTGAAGTAACAGGCCTCAAAATGGAAACTGAAATAGGCATAGGGGTCAGAGACTATCGTTTTTTTTAATAAATTCATATGACTTAAAACTGGTGTACGTCTCTCCGTCTTTCTTATATTATTATCGTGCAGTGGGAATAAAAATCACGTGCAGGCCATGAGGAACGCGTTAGAAATGTGTTTTGGCACAACTTTCGTTCTGCAGTAGCCCAAAGTTGCGCTGACACCGAACTTGTAGAGGGATGTGATGAAACTCTCATTGTATAGGCGGTAACAGTGGGTACCACGCTGCCATCTAGCGTGAAATCTGCCGGGATGTTATAAAATATATTGCCTCTCGGGGTTTTTTTAGTACCCTTGTACCTTTGTCGACACGAAATCCTCATTAACTCAGTTGGTAAAAATATACATTTTCTTAGTGAATTTAACAGTGACCCTTGCCTCGCAGCTGATGAAATATGGTTTGCAAAACATTTGGTAACAATGCTTGTACTTCCGACAAGACCTCAAAGAGCTATTTAAATGTCATGTCTTGTTCCTCCATTTAACGCGAAACTAAATTCGCTTCCCAAACGCACACAGGAGGTGCCTCGACGTCTGTTTGCAGAGTTACTTAAAGTACGTACATTGTGACGTCTTTACAGCAAAATCCGTGTTCCTAATCCTTGCCCACACGCTCTGAAGTAAAAATTTCAGCCATACTCCTCCCTAGCTCGGGTCGGTCTTGTATCACAGCAAACAGCGTATAACTTTGTTTGTTTGTTTGTTTAATCCAGCGTATTCCAGAGTTAGAGGCCACGCATATGTTGAACGAACTAAGGAGACCTGGCAAGTGAGGTTATGTACACAAGTTCAAAGTATAAAAGTAGAGAGAGAGAACTCTGCAGAAAACACGCACCTTCGAAAAATAAAAAAGCTCTCTTGCCAAAACAAACAGAAAGGAATTCGTAGCAAGCTCGACAGGTAGTTTCGTAAAGCCCCCGCTATCAAACAGGCCGGACAAAGATTATTCTGAACATGATTGATTTGTTTACTGACAAGTTAGCAGACGACTCACGATTCTTAAACTGAAAAATAATTTGAGCTCAGATATGAATAGTGGAGTTTCGTGTACATGAAACCTGACGCTCTCCTCACGAAGTCTGTGAAAATGCAACGCTCCACGAGAAAACGAGTTTGATAAGGAGAGAATCTGTGCGGGCGTTTCGCCCGTAACATCGCAGGACATTTCAGGTTCATCATGGCGATGAGAATGTCTTTTGGAATGGTCAGCCTTATTTATTATTATTTAGTGTTCTGTCTGACGACAGGTCCATATGAACAGGATCCTTCCATCCTTTTCTCGGACTGAGACCTGTTCATACACGTACTTGGCAGATGATCCAGAAGTGGTTTGCCATTGCCTTCTTCTGTGTGTGAATGGAGTAATTGTTGGGATGCCACGGAGAAACCGGGGAAGCCCCCGGAGGAAAACTCCGTGTTGCCTAGACCACGGCCTTGCCCAACACAAGTTATAAATTCGGGCACCGCCGGGAAAAAAAAAAAATACTTACTGTCTCCTTTCACCCTGATAATGGAATCTGTAAACTCCTCCGAAACTTTGGTCAGTTTATACCTTACTACACGGCGCAACATCCCAGAATACAACCATCTCACAACATAAGTTACGTGGATTATTTCAAAACATTCGGCCACAACTCCATTATACGTTACAATTGCTATAATCCCCTTCATGGTATGCATTAAGAACGGGGTCTTAAGTCATGTTACGTGAGATTAATTACCGTAATGAATGAATGGTTGGGTGGGTGGGAGTAAAGGTTAATTCAGGGTCGACTTTCCTTAGTCATAATCAATCTCTGTTTATCACGCTCTGTACACGGCCTCTTTTGGGCTATGTAGTAAACACGTCCAGCAATTTCTAGTGGAAGATGTATGTCACTTGAATAATTAATTTGATGACATGTGTATATATATGTATATATATTATATAGCTTATATATGGATCCCTTAATATATACCACACGATCGATTTCAAGCGAGAATCTCCTCCATTCCGCGATACTTACAGTTTCTCTAGGCTGTAAGGCTACAAAAATTTATAATCAGAAAAAAAAATGGAGCCGCGTGGCACTGCGATGACTTCCTCGAAGATCGAGGCAGAAGGCGTTGTCAGGAGCGCCGTGTATTTCCCTGTCCAAACTCCACAGGACACACTCCCAGTAAACCACTTTCTCCCGATTGGTTAACGACGTCACAAGATATAACCAAAAAAAACATGTAACAACATTTACTCTCGGCTCAAGGACTGGGTTCGGTCACAAACACCGACCATTTCCTCTAATGACATCGACAATTCCGTTGCGTGCTCGAAACATTTCGTCTCCCAGTTCATTTTAAATCGACACAGATTATACCAAAATCATACATTTCTGAACTTGAATAGCAAAGGAACTATTTCTTTTCGCGTAGCAACTGAGGCGAAACGAGTTAGCCCTCGGGAGTGGATGTGCCATTTCCATTGCTAACTAAATTCGGAATCACAAACCTCACAACTGGAAAATACCAAAGTAAATAATTTAAAAAATTAAAACGCACCAACACCGATTAACTGACATTTTAGAGCAAGACTGCGCATCCCCACAACGCAGTGCACCAATCATTGGTTGTCCAGTTACTGAACGAGAGGATTATCAATTTCTTGGTCGAAGTTAAAACGATTAATCTTGTTACTATTAACGTCATTATGACAACGGCTGAACGACTGATTTCACGTAAGAGATTACACTTGTTGTTTTGCTATACCACGTGCTATTATTAACCCCATATCCAACACTTTACGTGAATACAACGAGAATTACCGCCACGGTGGTCTAGCGGTCAGAACGCTGGCCTTGTAATCCTGGGGTCTCGGGTTCGATTCCCGGCGGTGCCCGAATTTATAACTTGTGTTGGGCAAGGCCGTGGTCTAGGCAACACGGAATTTTCCTCCGTTTTCGGCGGTGGCCGAATTTATAACTTGTGGTGGGCAAGGCCGTGGTCTAGGCAGCCCGGAGTTTTCCTCCGTGGCATCCCAACAATTACTTCATTCACACACAGAAGAAGGCAATGGCAAACCCCTTCTGGATCATCTGCCAAGAACGTATATGAACAGGTCCCAGTCCGAGAAAAGGATGGAAGGATCCTGTTCATATGGACCTGTCGTCAGACAGAACACTAAATAATAAATAAATAATATATAAATAACGAGTATAAAGGCTTTTATGACAGACACAACCCACAGTCGCACTCGCATTAGCACGTAATGCAAGTGTCGGTAGACAAAAGGTACAGTCTCAGTTGTTTTTCACTTGAATTCACCGAGCGTTGCTGTCACTGTCTTAGTTAACCCTCGATCCAGATCGCCAGTCTCGGAGCCGAGATTTGAACCCAAGGTCTTCCT